AAACCAGGCAGCCCGACTATTTTTATGGCTCAAAAAGAAAATGGAAGACATGCCGCCTTCTTCAAAGTCCAAATGTCGACGCGTGACTTGTGAGGCGAGTAGGACGCAAAGGTCACTCCCAGCTTGAATGAGTTTGAAATTGTTCTCTTTTTAGGATGGCGGTGGGAAGTCTGTCCAGTGTATCCACGTGGAGCCCTGTGCAGGTATTGATGGAGCACAGCAGCTCAGACATCCTCATCCCCCTCAACGCCGCCACCCCGCAGCCAGGTATTGTACTCGCTTTCACTCTTCCGTGCAGACTTTCTGCAAGATTTGTTTTCAAAATGTTAAGTTTTTGTACATTCATCTCAAACTGGGGGGTGGTCGCGCATGCTACATTCTGCCCGCTGTGTTCTTTAACGCTGCCCACCAAATATCATCAAGAATCCCTGGAGTATTTCTCAAAAATAACACAGCAATTTCGTTTTGATGGGTTAAAATCAGACAAAAAGTTTTGAAAAAAGATACTGGGGAGTTCAAACTGTTTGTTACACTGGTGTCACTGTGGGCTCTTATGGGTTAAAAAACAACAACAACAAAACAAACGTTATGGCCAACCAACCTTTTCAAAGATAATGGCCATCTTTTGATTTAACTAACCAGGGAGCGGTTGATTTTACACTACAATACAAACAATGGTAGTGCCAATAAAGTCTCAGCGTTATTTTGAAAGTCATCGCGTGGATGTATCTGATGTGGTCGCCGATGACTCTGTTGCAAACACAATTGTGAATTAGTGGAATTGAAAGGCAACTTACCCTTACCATCACTCAAATACTAACGTTCAGTGATGAAGGGAAGTTGTTCAAACCACTTTTACTGGTCGATAAGAGACTGCAGATGCATCCTCATTTTGCTCTTCCTCTTTGAACTATTGATAAGCACCAACCAGCTGAGGACAAACTTTAAAATATTAAGACTAGGTTGCACTCACTGATCCTACGCCAGCGTTTTGTTGAAAACCGCTTTCTCTCACTGGGTGCTTCTTGGAAATGCCGCTCAAGCACTTTGAGGAAGTTCCGTCTCCACAAGCACACTCGGTAATGACTTGGCTTTGCGCCCTCCCGCCTCTCTGCAGGTTTGAACTCCATCTTCTTCGCCATCAACATAGACAACAGCGACCTGAATGGGGGGCCGACGAGGGGCGGCGCGTCCACCATGACGCACCTCCTCAAGGAGTCCACGCAGGGCATCGGCAGCCTGTGGAAGGAGTCCACGCAGGGGGTCAGCAGCCTGCTTCGAGAGATCAGCACCGCCACCGTTGTGGTGCCGGGATTCTGCCCGAGGGTGGATGGAGCCTCGGACCCACTACCTGTCCTGCCGCGTAGCACCTCTGCTGGTAAGCTCCACTACGAGTTTGGAAATATGACACTCTGGAAACGTTTTTTTTCCCGTACAAAAGAATTTTGCGAGGAAAAAAAAGTCATTTTGTTCATACTGTCAGTGTAAATCTGACAGAAATACCGTATTTTCCGCACAATAAGGCGCACCTAAAAGCATTCCATTTTCTAAAAAGCCGACAGTGCGCCTTGTAATCCGATGCGCCTTATATGTTCAGATTCTGATTTCTCGGACGTAGTATTTTAAATGGTCCGTAAAGCACTTTGTTACAGCTGCAGCGGTTGTGAAAGGTCTAACTCAATAAAGCTGTATTGTATTGTATTGTATTCCCTTTAGCGTAGCTCCATCTCGTGGATGCATAACGCAATCTCAGTTGCGCCCTATATATGAAGAGAGTTTTAAAACAGGCTATTCATTGAAGGTGTGCCTTATACTTCGGAGCGCCTTATCGTGTGGGAAATACGGTACATTAGGATGACAAAAAAAAAAAAACTCATCCCTCCCGGTCCTATCTTGTACCGCTAATTAGAATTGTAGGAAGCCACCATCCCCAAGAACGAAGAACTGATCAAGAAGGCGTGACTGAAAAGGTGTCAATTATATTGCCGTTCACTTGCTACACGCTCGTATCCAGCATACCCCTGCCTTGTGCTGACCTGTTATTGTTGGCTTCAGTAGCTTTGCTGAATCTATGGTGGAATATCCAGATTTCTTTGGGGGGGGGGGAAAAACGCGAAAAAAAAAAAAAAATTTTTTATTTCGAAAATTCCCCCCCCCCAGGGGAATAACGCGAAAAAAAAAAAGGACATCTTCATATCGTAAATCTGCCTCATCCGAAATGAATACTTACATTCACATTGGATATTTACCAATGCGAGTGTTGCGTAAATGTTTAGATGTAGCCAAGTAGTGCCCTCCGTTTTTTCCGCAATTATTTTCAAACAATATTTATCAACAATAAATTACACACAATTGCCAGAACTTGCAACCATCAACTCATCGAGTCATCCAATATTCTGCCCAGCCTTGACTCAAAGGCGCCTCAACCTTGAATGGAATCACCGTGGATAAATCAGACCACATGAATTTTCCATAGCTCAGGCCTTTTTTTTTCATGCTCCCAAGCACACTGAAGGTTTTTCCGCATGAGCAACACTTTAGTTCTTTTTTTTTTTTTTTTTTTTTTTTTTTTTGGCCCTTGTCGGGTTTTTTTCACAATTCCCTCACT